CCAGCTTGTGGCCCGGGGTAGATGGGGAGAGAAGGGTACAGCACAGTCATGGCACCTCTGGGCCAGCAGGTGGTGGTATCGTGGGGCTCTGGCCACCTGGATGCTTAGGGCTGTCCCGTGTGGTCCCAGGAAGGGCAGGGATGGTGGGGCTGGGGCTAGAGAGATGACAGTGCCCCCACCCACTGCCCACTAGGAAGCTGGGAGTGTGTGCTGCACCCTGCCCTCAGGCCCCCAGACCTCACCCCAAGGAGGGAAGGGGATTTTCCTGGGCCCCTTGTCATGCATCTGGATTGAGACTCTTTGAAAGTCAGGAAGTTCCTCTTGTATCACCCCTGCTCTCAATTTGTTTCAGCTCAAAGCAATTCCCTAGTTTTAAAGTTCTGGTTTTTTTTAAGCTAAGGAAGCCTTTATCAAAACCATATCTTACTCCAAATCCCAGCCTATAAACATGTTCACAGAGCGGCTATGCATACACTGGGGTGGGGTAGGCATCCCCTGTCTCAGGACAAAGCCACGGAGAGTCCTAGGGCACCTCGGGAACATTCTGAGAAGCCTGGGGCTTCAGTGGGGCCTGCACCCCCTGAGCCCAGCACTGAGCCCCACAGGGGGGTGGAGGCCCCCAAGGAAAGCAGATGGGATGTTCAACTAGGGTAACTGCTGTCCTGTGAGCAAGGTCATGGTCCAGACAGGGGGGCCTGCCCCATTCTGCTGAGGACCTGCTGTGTGATTCCGCACAAGTGGCCAGCAGTCTCTGGGTCCTGTTCGGGTTGTTGGATGCCGAGAGGTGGGGCTGATCAGGGTAGTCTGTACAGTAAGGGTGGGAGGGAAGGGAGTCCTGATGACCTGTCCCAGTTTCGGAGATAGGAGACAGGCAGGCTGAAATATTCACTCAAGAGCAGCAGCCAGAGACTGGCGAACAGACCAGCCACGCATGGACAGGGGCTGAGTCCCTAGAAGGAATGGTCAACAGGATAGGCATTGCCCCTGGCTGCCACCTCCAGAACATGGGGGAACCACACCAGCAAGCCACCCACCCTGGCAGGGAGCTCCCCTCTCCCCTCTATGTCGGACACACACACACACACACACACACACACACACACACACACACACACACACTTTCTCCTGATGCCTCAGCTGCTGAGGCGGGGCAGGGTGTTTGTGCAGAGATCTGTGTGCCGTGAGCAAAGGGGCACGTTGGGAGAGGCAGGGGGGCACTTGCTGAGGCTGGCAGAGGCATGGGGTGGCAGGGCCAGCTCTGAAGCAAGTCCCTCTCTTACTAGGGGATGAAGCCTCATGGGTGGGTGGCTGCCCCTGGCATGATCTAGACAACCCGCTGCTGTTGGCATGAAAGAGAATACCATGGCCAGTACTGCCCAAACCGAGTCCCGGGTTTTCTCCGAGCCTTGGCTTTTCCATCTGTAAAATGGGCACAGCTCCCAAGTCACAGGGGTGCTGTGAGGCTGCAGGACTACCTGAGTGGTGGTCACCATTGGGTACCTCCGGGGACAGGAATTCAGTCCCTGTGGAGCCCCAGCCCACCCTGTTTGAGAGAAGAGGAGGGGGCTAGGGAGCATCTTGGTGTTCAATTGCTCATATAATCTCAGGGGCCCTGGCACCCTGCTTCTGAAAGGTCAACACCTTAAAAAACCCCAGGGAGCCATTCAACTGCACACATGGGGTCCCCATGAGCCAGCACTTAACTTCCACAGTAATTTTGGAGCCTACCCTAAGCCTACACCTGAAGAAAAAGTCCTAACTCCAGAAGGTTCTATAGGTGTTCTGTGCTAGGGTAGGGGGCATACTGGAGGCAAGGGGGGAGCAGAGTGGAGCCAGGAGGGATGGTGAGGAACTGAGGACCAGATCCAAGTATGGCCAGCGGCACAGCACCCCGCCTTTACAGGCTAGGGCGCAGTGCCCCACCCCACCCTGCTATAACCTGCCCTCTAGGCACCACCCGGCCCAGGGGCGTTGGTGAGCCAGGGGACAAGGCAGCCCCATCCTGCCCAGGTCCAAGCACTGTAGTGTGCATTGTACGCCCACCCTGCTCCCACTACTGGCCCCCACGTCTGTGGGTGTGCTAGTGAGTGTGCCTGTCAGGGCTGCGTCCAGCTCCCCTCCTTGCTGGGCCCCTCCTGGGCAGCACTCCCAGTCCCCAGATGGAGCCTATACATGCGCCCCACACCCCACCCGCCTCATGGCCAGTGGCCTAGCCCACCTGGACGGGCCCCCTCCCCAGCCTCCCAGGCAGGCAGCATTGAAAGGCTCTTCTTGTGCTGCCTGGGCGGGCTGGTGGGTGAGCCGGGGGAGGGGGGCTCAGTTATACTTGGTTCTGGAAAAGCTTTTCCAGAGTCTGGGTGGGCTGGGTCAAGAGCAGAGGCCCAGGGCAACACACACACACACACACACACACACACACACACGTCCACTGTTACCACAATTTCACTCACTGTTTCATGCTAACCCTCTAGGGCAGAGTAGAACTGCCCCCTTGAGTTTGGAGCCTGTAAATCTTTACAGAAGCAGAGAGCCTCATTTTTCTCCTAAGGGATGGCTGGTGGGGTTAACCCCTAACCTTTCTGTTAGCAAACCAATGCTTAACTTCCCGTGCCACAAGCCTTCCACAGTTCCCCTCAAATCACCCTCAGAGGCGGCAACATCACCCCTGGTTCCATTCCTGGTCCCTGGTGACCTTGGGACCCTGCTGTCAGAGATACGCTCGTGACTCCGTGTTCCTGGCCTGAGTCCTACTTCAATCCCTCACACGCTGCCTTTCAGAGAGCAGCCTGGTGCCGGCCAGGAGCAGGGTGCAGCGGCCACTGTCTTGCACGCTCCACGCTCACCCTGACCAACCCTCCTGCTTGCCCTCACTCGGTTCCCAGGCCTCTCCGTTCAGGACCAATTTCAACCTATTCTCCATGCTGGCTTGTCCTGTGGCTGTCTGCCGCCTGCATGGCTCAGACACCACCCACGATCACCCACAAGACCACACTGGTCTAAGTCTCATTCTCCATGCAGACCACAGCCCCCTGAGAGTGAAGCTGGGGTTCCTTCTGGCCAGCCAGGGTATCTGTGGGAGTTTGAGCACTTCGCTTCTGTCCTGGGGCCTCAGTTTCCCTGTCTGTCTGACAGAAAGGTAGCACCCGATGGCCTCCTAGGGTGCTTGAGTCCTAGCCACCACCACTGTGGGACAGAGGAGTGGGGAGACCCTAGGGCATCCAGGGTGGGTGAGCAGGATGTCTTCATACTGGGCAGGGGCTGTGGGGACCTGGGCAGGGAGCTGTGTTAGGCATGGGATGGAGATGGGCGGTTGGAGGGAAGCTCTGTTTGGGAGACGCTGAGGGTACCCATTTCCCAATGTCCCTAAAGGCAGGGATCGGTTTAATGCTCCAAAACTGCACTGGCACCATGCCACTCCCCTGCCCTAAAGCCTCTGCTGGCTCTTCACTGCCAACCGGGCGGTGGCTCCAGGCTTCATTCTGCCATTTCATGTTCCCGTGCCCCACCCCAATGGCTCTCTGGACTTCCTGGCCCAAACCTGCCAGAGGGCACCTTCTTCTGCCGACGCCCACCTCAGTGGCTTTATTCAGGAGGGCTAACCCCCCTGCTCCATCCTCTACAGCTCCGTCTGAGGATCGCCCCTCCTTCCAGCCCCACCCCATCATGCCCCTCAAATGTCTTCTCTGGGAATCTCAGGTCCCGACCAGGATTTTAATTTGCATTTCTGCCCCCTGGAAGTGTCTCCATTCAGCCTGTCCATTTCTGTGTGCCCCTCATGTCTTGGGCCGGCAAAGGTATTGGAGGGTGGCTGCCAGACTCCCTGGAGATTCGGGCCCTCTCTGGGAGCTGGAAGGTTTCCATTTCCCTGGAGTCCTGTCTGTCACCCAGCCCGTGAGGCATTAGGGGGTGGGGTCCCTGGGCACAGAAGTTGGGAGTCTGGGGACCCAGCCCTGACTCACCCCGATGCGAGTGAGGTGGGGTCCCCCAGTGACTCACTTCCCTTCTGGGTCCCTCATGACGCCCCCCGCCCCCCTTAGAAGGAGCTTCCCCATCTGATGGGGAGGAGGGTGTGGTCCTGGTCCCTGGAAGGTCCTTCCTCAGCTTTCAGTTGATCCTGGGACTCTTACCAAAGATGTGGGCCTTACCATTGATTCATACGTGGGTCATAATAACGGATTGCCCGGGCAGGGTTCCTAGGGCATAGCTAGACGGCGCCTTCCCAAAGGATGATGCGGCAGGAATGGGGAGGGGACACATCCCAGTGCTCCCCGGCCCCCATCACACACACACACACACACACACACACACACACACACACACACACACACAAGGCAAGGCTCCATTTAGTCCCTGTTGGGGTCAGACATCATGCCAGGGGCTGGACAGGCGGCTGCTCAGCACAGTCAGAGGGACAAGCCCCTGTTAGGGCACTGGCTCCACCTTCACAAAGGTGAAGGGTCGGGGGTGGTAGGGGTGGTCAGGGCTGTCTGTCATCGTGAACCAGGAAGGTGAGGCCGGAGACTTGCACCTGGGACACCACTGTCCAGGACTGAGGCAGCAGGCCTGGGGAAGGCTGGGGAGGTGTGCGTGAGGGGCCTGGCACAGGGCGAGGCCCCGCGTTGCCATACCATTTCCCTCCTGCTGCACCCCCCATGCTGGGCCCTGGCCATCTGAGGCTGGGGTATAAGTTGTATGCTGTCACTGGGTGGCCCCTGAGCGCCAACGGGCACAGGAGCGCACCGAGTCTCGAAGGCGCGGGGCCGGCCCCGCTGTGTGTCCCAAGCAAGCGACAGGAGCGCCTGGGGCCACGCCCTAGACCCTGCGATCCCCGCCACACTCTCGCGACCCCCGTCGGTAACTAAAGTCCCCCAAACGCGAGCCTTCCGTGGGGTTCCGCGTCTGCCCCTAGGGGACCCTCATCTGGGATGGGAGAGTCTCCGGTCTGCAGCACCCCAAGGCTGCCACCGGGCTGGGCAGGAGGTCTCGGGCCCCTCACTCACCTGCGGACGCGGGGTCCGCCAGCAGCGCGGCCAAGGTCAGGGCCAGAGCTAGGGCCCGCGCCGGCGGCGGGGGTCGCGGGCAGGAGCGCATGGCGGCGCGCTGGGCAACTTGCAACTTGCGCGGAGCTGCGAGCGCCCAGCGGGACTCGGGACTGTGGGCGGCGGGCGCGGGCGGCGAGTCGCGAGTACTTAGCTCCGGGGCGGGGCGGGCACCGACCGCTCGGGTTTCAGGCCTCCCCACCACCCCAACAAGTCCTAGCACCCCCCTCCATTGCCCCCTCCCACCTTCTTAAAGGGCCCGTGCAGGGCTGCTCCTCCCGCACCCCGCTTCGAGATTTGGGGCAGCGAGAACGTGGTGGGCTCAGATCCCTCCGGGCCGTCCCGGGGACCCCCAGAAACCGTTCTGGGAGGTGGCCTGAGATGGGTTCTACTGCCCCCCAACCCCTGTCCTTTCTGCCAAGGAGGGAGATAACCAACTATAGGTCCCGAAGGAAGGACAGAAGCCCGTGTCCACCCCAGCACCCGGCTTTAGGCTGTGTCGCTTCGGAGACCTGTCAGGACTCTGTTTGGGGGAGGACAGCTCTGGGACTGGGGACTGCTCGACCTTGACCTCCCTTGCCTCACAGGCCCCAGCCTTCCTGCTAGCTGAGGGGTAGGGCTCCGGACTGTGGCACTAGACAGAAGGGATTCTCAGCTCCAAGGAGTCATTGGTTTCAAAATAACCCTGGAAGGTGGGGTGGGACGCGCCCACGCCCTATCCTCTCAGGGAGAGGGAAACTGAGGCACAGAGCTGGCAGTGGCGTTGTGAGGTTTCAGTTCAGCGCAGGTCTCTAGCCACCTGGGGTCGGGTTGGGAGTGTGGGGATGTGGGTGTGGTGGTCCTCCCGATCCCAAATTTGGAAGCTGCAACTTCCCAGACGGACTCCTGGAAGTCTGGCCCTGGATTTAGCTTCCACCTAACCACTCCCAGGCTGGAGCCTTCTCCTTGGGGCTCCCTCTCTGGCCACGTGGGCCTTGTCCTGAACAGAAGGAAGGCAGTGTTGCTCAGCCCTCCCAGTGCCCAGAGGGCCTCTCTTTAGCACCAGCTGGGTGTGGTTGGAGCTTGGTTTCTTGATCCAGCAAATGGGCAGAAGAACACTTTTAGAGCACTCTCTCTCTCCCTCTCCTCCTCCAACCGGACCCCTCCACTGATCTTTGTCGCCCCCCACCCACATCCTCACTCCAGCCCCTCTCCTACAGGAGGACAGGCCCACAGGCCCACAGGCCCACAGCACTTGGTAGTTTGCAGCGAACTGAAGACACCTGTTACAGGTGAAAAGAAGCCCAACACAAAATCCGGAGCCTGTGAGAGGTTAAGGGACTTGATCGAGCCTCCAGCCATTGCGAAGGAGGGCCAGATCCATGAGGGCCCTGAGGCGAACACAGGCAGACCAGAGCTCCTGCTTAGCGGCCCAACCCCAGCAAGTCACCTCCTCTCTCTGGCTGTTTCCAACTTGTTCCTTCTCCCTCCGCTCCTCCTTCAGCTTCACCCCCACTGAGTGTGTCACAGTTTGCACACACCTTTATCCCCAGCACCTCCTTTGAGGCAAACTCGGACCTTGGCTGCCCTCCCCGCCCCCCAGCTTGACCTCTCCCCTCCAGTGGTAGCAGCTGGGCATAGTGAGTGCTGCCTCAAAGCCTGCTGGGGTGCAGCTGTTTTGAGGGGCTCTTTTGGGGGCAACCCCAGCATCTCCAATCCAGTCACCTCAGGAGGCCTGGGCTGGGGTGTTCCCAGCTGGCCTCCGTGGCCACTAGAGCCATTGGTTCCACATTGGTCCCTTGTTTTCCCGGCCAGCAAGGCACCTGGTCCTCATTAGGGGCTAATTGCTGGCCAGGAGTGGCTGGGGGCTGGCTGGGGGGCACGCTGCTTGAAGGGCTATGCTCTCTGTGGGAGTGGAGAGAGAGGGGAGCGGAGGTCTTGTGCTTCTTTATGAATCAAAAGCTTGGGTGGAGAGTCCCCCGTTACTGCCTGCACCCATCTTGCCACATAGAGCTCCCCACCGCCTCCAGGAGTCTGTTTGCGGAACCTCCAGACAGGGAGGTCCCGCCCACCGCTGAGGTTCAGTGGGGATTAGCTGGGAGCCTGCCCTGGCCTTGTTGCTAACTGGGGAGAGAACCGGCTCCATGCCGGCAGTCACGGCTGCTCCGGAGCTTCTCGGTTTATAAAACACTCTTCCGGTCTCTTGACAGCCCTGTGAAGAAGTAAGTGTGTGTGCGTGTGTGTGTGTGTGTGTGTGTGTGTGTGTGTGTGTGTGTATTTTGGATCACAGTGTCCCCTTTTCCCAGAGGTGGAGGTTGAGGTTCCGAGTGAAAAGGGGTGCTGGGACCCCAGTGCACACAGGCCTGGCTGTTGCTCCCCTTACCAGGCTGCCCACTAGGGGCGTGCTTGAACTCATCCCTGACGGCCCCAGAGCAAAGGACGCTGGGCAGGGCAGCGCCTGCTTCCCGACTGTGCCCTCCTCCCTCCCCTGCAGGCTCCCCGGAGGCCCCCAGTCTTGAGCACAGTTGGCATTCTCGGGCTGGCTCAGGCCACCTCCCTTCTGCCATCTGACCTTTGCCTTGATTGCGCTGGCTCGGTGCCCTTGGTGACCATTCTTGACCGTCCCTGCTGCCTGACCACATCTCCCTTTCCCCTAGGATGCCTTCCTGGTCTCCCTCCCACACACGGACCTCTCTTTCCACAGACTCTTGGAGGACTGGTATACTGACTGGTCTGGAAGTGTGGCTTCAACATCTCCCCTGGCTCCCAGACGGGGGCACCAGCAAATCACAGGATGGGGCACAGGGGAGGAGAAGAGGGAGACTGAGGACACCCCCCCCCTCCCAAGAAGGATAAGACCCCCTTCCCCAGGGGGATGAAACCCAGACCCAACTCCCTGCCACGAAGTGGATGCTGACGCATGGTGACCCTGCAGGATAAGGTAGAGCTGGCCCTGCGGGTCTCTGAGGCGGTCATTCTTTATGGGGGAAGAAATCCCCATCTTTCTCCAGCAGAGCAGTTAGTGGGTTTGAACTGCTGACCTTGTGGTTAGCAGGCCAATACTTAACCACTACACCACCAGGGTTCCTAGGGTGGTGAAAAGTAGGCTCCAAAGTCTCAGAAACTTTGATGCCCGTTGTCATGTGCTGCCTCAGTTTCTCAAAGGCATCTGTCTCTCGGAGAAAAAGACAGCAGCCTGCCCTCTGACGCCCATGTCCCTGCCAGCAGAGTCCAGCAAGCATGTCGGCCACCGGGCGCCCCTGGCACGCTCTCCCCTAGTGCTTTTTGCACTCAGAGTACCCGCTCTGCCAGGGGGCCTGACTTGGTGCGCGCTTGGCCGGGGCTGGGCGTTCTGAGCACCTCGGTTGTTTTGCATCCTGACCGCTGGGCCCCACCCAAGGAGCCTTGGCTAAAGCCAGCTTGCCGGTAAATGGCGGGTGTTGTGCCCGCGATGGAGTGTGTGTGTGTGTGTGTGTGTGTGTGTGTGTGTGTGTGTGTGTGTCACTGAGCAGGGGTTTGTTCCACTGCCCAGGCTTTGCCCTCAGAGAACTTGGCCCTCTGCCAGGAAGGACACGGAGCCTAGGTCACAAGTGTGCGGAGGGACGTAGGCTTCAGCCCCAGCTTTGTGGCCGAGGCCTCCGCAGTAGTGCTGCTCCTGCTTCTGGCCGGAGGCATTTGTGGGGAGCCTCCAGCCAAGCTCGGGAGGGACAGGAGCTGCTGCTCCCAACAATGACACAATTCAGTAGCTGGAAAGTGATGTTTGCCGCCCTGGGAGCCAGTTGGGAATGGAAGGACAGTGGTAAGGCTTTGCCTGGTCAGGGACACACTCTAGCCATGCTCAGGCTGGGATGTGGAGACGGGGTCTGGGGTCCGGGAATGGGGAGGCTTGGGTGAGATGGGGGAGGCAGCTGGGGGTAGCGGACCTTCTTGGAGCCTTGTTCCCTGGAGCAGGCACTGGCCTTCCACGCCATGTCTACGAAGCTTACTGGCTTCCGAGGCTGTCACCAGCTGGCCCCAGCTGACTCCCCTGTGTTTGTGCTATTTCTAAATATTAGTACATGCGATTAACCCCTGCTCTGCCCCACCGAGAGGAGCTGTTGGGAAAGGGGAAACACAGCATCCCACGCTGGGTGGGCAGACCTGGTCTAACTGGGTCAGGTGCCTCTAGGGGCTGGAGTGGGGCTCCCCAAAGAAGGACCCAAAACACCTGCCCAGAACTGGGCATGAGGCTTACAGTGGGTCCGGAGATGTGTCTGAGCTGGTGGCAGGGCAGGGCAATGGAAAGAATGTGAGGTTAGGAGCCAGAAGTCTTGTCCTGCCAAGCCTCGTCTGTGTGGCCTCCGGCAAGTCATCTCACTTCTCTGCACCTTTTCTTATTAAACAAAAGAAAGAGATTTTTCTTAAGAACAATTTTAGGTTTATAGAAAAATTGAGCAGAAAGTTTAGAGTTCTCATAGACCTTGCCCCTCCCCATAATTCCCCCTTCCATTTGTAATAGTTTGCTTCTCTGTGGTATATTTTGCTACAAATTGGGAACTGATATGTGTGCGGCCTAATGGACTAGAACAACAGATCCAGAGACACTCATGTATGTGTAAGAAAGAGCTTTATATCAAGAATTAATTGCATATCAGGAAAACATCCCAGCCCAACCCAAGTCCGTAAGTCTGATGCTAGTCTATAAGTTCGATTCTAGTTTATAAGTCCCTCTTCAGACTCACAAACGAACCCACATGCAATGATGCGGGAAGAACACAGGCTGGCGGGTGCAAAGTCTTGTGGATACAGTGGCGGTGGGAGCCTGGGAGCTGTCTCCAGAGCTGGAGCAGGTCGCAGAGTGGCTCAGAGGCATGAAGGTGAAGGCAGAGAGGTGGGGGAGGGGGTCCCCAGGACCCTCCTTAGGAGAAGGTCACACCCACAAGGAGGTACCATCAGGTGACCTGATTGACAGGCTAGACTCCATGCCTACCCTTTTATATCTTCCAGTTGACACAAGAGGATGTAACTAGCACATGATCTTACCACATGATTGTTAGCTAAAGTCTCTAGTCTATATTAAGCGTCCTGGTAGAACTGTGGTTAAAGCGGTCAGCTGCTCTCTGAACGATGGAAGCTTTGAACCGCGGCTGGGTCCGAGGAAGGAGGTTGTGACAGGGTGGCTTGGAAACCCCATGGGGAAGTTCTACTCTATTCCCCAGGATTTCTCTGAATTGGAATCAACCCAGCGGCAGTGAATTCTTCCGTTTACTGACCTCACACTGACCTCTCTTTCCACAGACTCTGGGAGGCCTGGATCTCTAATGTATGTGATGTGGTCCAGCCCTGTGGGTTTTGATAAATGCGTAATGTCCTGTGTCCGATGTGAGAGCATCACCCAGAACGATTTCCCTGCCCGGCACACACTCTGTGCTCCGTCTGTCCCACCCCCACCCGGCTCCCACTCTCTGGCAGCCACCGATCTTTTTACTGACTCTGTAGCTGAGCCTACCTCAGAAAGGCCATAGGTCCTATGGTTAAACTCCTATAGAGTGTCGTCTTATCTTCTTTCATGCAGCAATATGCATGTAAGGTTCACCAGGGTCTTCACCTGGAGGATGAGGCCTTTCTGTTGTTAATTGTGGACACACATACATAACGCCAAACGTTTCCATTTTAAAACGTACGATTCAGCCGCATCTGTGCCAGTCACCATGCTGTACAACCATCGGCACACTTTCCAAAACATGCTCATCACTGCAAACAGCCACTCGAACCCATTAAGCAATCAACCTTCCTTCCTTCCTTCTGCGCCTACCCCCTTGTAGCCGCTCTCGACTCCGTCTCTGTCAGTTTCCTTGCCTAGAGACTGCATCTCAGTGGAATCAAGCAGCATGCCCCCCGCCCCCACCTTTGTTGGGGCTTATTTCTGACATCATGCTGTGTTGGTTCACCCTGTGGGTGCATGTATCAAAACATCATTCCTCACGGCTGACTCATATTCCATTGTGTGTGTCTGACACATTTTGCTGATCCGTTCACCCCGCGGATGGACGCTTGAGTTGTTCCCAACTTCTGATAGTTGCTGAAAACGCTGCAGTGAACATAGGTGCGTGAGTATCTGCTTGAGTTCCTGCTCTCAGTTC